AAACAATTCAGTTTTTGCTAAGTTTTTTATGGTTGACCATCTACTTCTATTTTAAAAATTTAAAAGTATAAAAAAAAGTCTTTGCAAAAGTTTCTTTGCGTATAAAGTTACGCAACATTTCTTTCAAATTTATGCTATTCAAATTTTGATTGGATAAATTTGATTTTTAATCGTTGCGTTTTAGAAATAAAAAGTTTTATCTGAAGTCTTTTTCTAAACAAAACGTTTTAAGTCATTAAAAAGACAGATTACTTCAAACTATCTTAATTTCCTTTTTATTTATTTATTTTTAATCGTTATTCAACCTATCAAGAAGGCTATTCAAGATTTCATTTTTTTTTCACATTTCTTTAATGAAGTCAAGAATAAATCTTCTTTTAAAGTGCCAGTCAGTAGAAATTTAGTTAAATTCTAAAGGTTTAACAACTCTAAAGATAAACAGGCTAAAGGAATACCGCTACCTAAAAGGCTTTATAAAAAACAAACTGGGTGATCAAATTTTGAAATTTTCTGCTTTACTCTAAAACGCAGTGAATAGCTAGTTAAAAAAAATTCTAGAAGCAGTTAATAAGTATACCTCAAAGAGATTGAATGATTGTATCATTCTTGTAAGAGTATTTTGGCAAAAAGTTAGCCTTAGGACTTCAAAAAAGAGAAAAGTTTTATGTGTTTGGTTGATGATGGAATATGATTAGTATTAACTTTCTAACTAAGTTGTTGCAGTTGGAAAGCTTTGGAAAAAACGCATTTAATTTCAACAGTAGATGTATACTTAATTATTTAAACCATATAAAAAATGAAGGTTCGCGTAGTTTAAAAATATTTTGGAAAATTATTGTCCAATTATTATAAACCAGCTACAAAAACAAATGGATAACAATGGAAAAGCAGCAAACGTTACACCAGGTGTGCAAGATGAGTTCTATTTTAGTTTGATTAAAGTTACAAGGCAACCCATTTAGCTGTGAACTAGACATTATTGAAGTAGATAAAGATATGTTAAAATGAAAAAAAGTTCGAAAAATGAGGTTCTTTATTTTAGGGATACAATATAGGTCATTGTCGCGGAGGTCTATTCTGTTTAAATACATGGTTGTTGATATAAAAAAACAATCCTCCATCTTATGTCTACCAAAGAACAAACTCATAACCTAGATGTTCTACATGGAAAGTTCCCGCAGCAATCTCTATCACATATGATGACTTTTATAGTTATTTTCCATTTTCAATAGTAAATAACAAACTGTATAAATTATTTTTATATATAATGCTTAATTTTTTTGTTACTTATAAATCATGATGTATATTATTGATAAGTTAAACAGAAAAAGATTTCTACTTTTCTACTTTTCTTATATTTAATGATAATAATAACTTCATCTATTTTTAACAATGCCTGTTTTTGTCAATATATTCACTTTTATTAAAATCAAAGTAGAAGGTTAAATATTTAAAATGAAAATAAAAAATGATTATGATTTTCAGAATCAGCATGAAAAACTAAATAAGAGATTTGTTGTTCTTGTCGGTAAGGATATAAATGTTGTTTTAAAAAATGTTTAAACATTTTTTAAAAGTTGTTTAAACTATAAAAAATCTAAAAAAAGATGATTATGGACCCCCCCCCCCCCCCCCCCCCCGTTATTGAATCGGCTTGGTGATAAGATTGAATTTGACTTCTTCTTGCGCCAACTATGTATTTACATTATATAATAATTAATTTTGTAAAATTTTTTATATGGTAAAATACATCACAATAATAACCAACAATTTTTTGCAGACCTAGACTTTGCAGCTGAAATTTTGTAGATTATAACATAAAAAAGTTATATTTTCTCCTCTGATCGGCGTATTTTATTTTATGTAAAAACGTAATTTAGACGTCTAAAACACGTCTTGTGCCCACTGGGTTGAAATTTTTCCTTTTTTACATTTTTGTTTCTGTGTCTTAAATTTTGTCATAACGAACAAAAAAAAATTTGTATCTTCAAAATGGGTATTTTTAAAGCTGTATTTTGTATTGCTTCTAGCGGCATTTAAAATTTATTTGTTTCCTGATACGCGCATTTAAAGTTGTTACTTTAAATGACATTAAAGTCAATTAATTACTCTATAAAGTTACTTTTGTTATTTGAAAAACAATAAAGAGTAATCCTGTGTAGGGTGACCAGACGTACTCTATTTTAGAGTATTATACTCTTTTTGACGTAAAATTTTTTATACTCTATCTTTTTCTAAAAATCACAAAATATACTCTTTCTTTTTAAACTACTGATTTAAGAAATTTATTTATTTGAAATAAACAAATAATAAATGCGCAGATCGAAGCAGTATTTTTTTCTAAGCTGATATTTCTTTCACCATGACAATGATGCAATATTGTTCAACACGCAGCATCATAAACACATAAAAAATGTTCAACAGTTTTTATAAAACAAAAGCTAGAATCTTTTTTTTTTCCTTTAAAGATTTAGCTGTTTATGATGAAAGTTTACAGTCATTGAGCTTGTATGGTCATACCACAACGTAAGACACGGCCAATCTTTCAGGGATATGGACTGCACATCCAATTTTTGAGAAAATCTTGTAATTATAAGATTACGTGTGGAAAACGTCAAAGTGTCTTGTTAACAATTTAATTTTAAATAAGTCTGAAGATTTGTTAAAAAAAAAGATTTGCAACAAGCAAACTTTTTTGTTGTTGCATGTGATGCATTGAACCACAAAAAAATTTTTTTTTTTTTTTTTGTGGTTTGATGCATCACATGCACTTTTAAAATACAAGACTTTATTTTGAAAGCTGGTTGTTAAACCAGCTTTCAAAATAAAGTCTTGTATTTTAAAAGTTCATAACCTTCCAAATGAAATTACAGAAACAATAGCTAATAAAATTTTAAAAGATATTAACTTTTACAATATACAAGAAACTGTTATTGGATTTTCAACAGATAACACTGTAAACTTTGGTGCTTTATTAACAAATAAAACTGCAGGTAACATCCTTGCAAAGCTTGAAAAGAATTTACAGAGAGAAAATTACGTGTAATTTGAATAAATATTGAAGATATAATGCTAAAAGTATATCATCAGTTTAATATATTTAAATAGAAGTAAAAAAAAAAAGTGAATTCTGTTGAAGAAAAATTTTATACCACAATAGTTGGTTATTTGAAAAAGTGGGCTGGAAGAATTTGTTATGAAGCATGGAATATAAAATAACTTATGTTAAAAAAGAAAATTTCAGATGACAAATTTAAGGAAGCTTACGTAAATTTTCTTAATCGGACTAAACCATTGGATATTCCTATTGTTAGTGATAATGAGAATTTTGACAATATACCCATTAATAACCATATACCCATTAATGATTTTTTCGTTCATTTCATCAAAAACAAGGACTTTTTTTTTAGTAGGTAAAAAAAAAAGTTCTCGTTTTTAGTGGGCAAAAAAAAAGTCCTCTAAAAAAAAGTTCCCTACTCAAGCCGGTCCTAATCGGAAATATACTCTTTTTACTTTTAAAAAATCTGGTCAGCCTAATCCTGTCTGATATACTAGAACAAGTATGTTATGCATATTGGTTTTTATAAGTTAGTAGAATTGTTTGAACATAGATTTTATAATTGATTAATTTAAGATTATTAACTTTGGTAAACACAATTAAAACTTTAATTATTACATGCTTGATAATGGTAGTAAAATAAAATTATTGACAAAAAACTTTGAAAATGAATCGGGAGTTTTAACATTAGACAATTTAAAATGAACTATAAAGATTATTGCAGCAGCTTCTAATGCAAATTAGGTATTATTTCTCAAGCTTTTAAATATAAGACATGATTCTTTCAAGATTTTATATTCTGCGTATTTAAAACCACATTTCAAATTGATTGTTACAGTATGAAATCATAATATAAAAAATAAACACCTATGAATAAAAAATTTGACGCCTGTTGTACAAAGAACAAATAGTCAAACTTAATCTAGCAATGCTGACCAAAAGCAAAAAATGCAAATAAATTCAATTTTATTTTTATTATTTATCAAATGCTATAAAAACTTTTCATAATGCAATCCACCTAAGTTTGTTGCATAATTAATGTTAGTTGGACCAGCTGCTAATATAAGAAAAATTTTAAGATAATTTTTTTATTTAACAGGTTAAATGCCAAACTCATGGAACCTTGTTGCAAAGCAATAGTAAAGCTATGGAATAGTTCCGAAGTTCAGCCGCAAAAGTTAAAAGTTTCAATAGTAAAACAATAATCCACCATAAAATAAAGTTGTCTCATAACTAAACTTTAGCGAACATAGCATATTTATTATTTATTGCTTACTTTAAATAAATTTTTGTTAATTTTTGCCATAAAATCTTTAATTTTAACCAATGTGAACTTTGTGTTTTTTAACAAAAATTAATTTAGAAGACTAAAAATTAATTAAGAAGAAAAATTTTAAAACTAAAAAAAAAAAAATTATTGAAAGATTGCCAGCCTAAACCAAAACCTTCAGTCAATGTAGCAGCACTCCTTGTATATTCTACCTATTTGTCAGTCAATATATAGTAAATAGTAGAAAAAGAAAAATAAAACTGTTCAGAATGTTTTTAAAAAAACATTTCAGTCTATAAGGTTGCATTTTTGTGGTTTTTAAAAAAAAACATTAAGTTTAATTAGATTCCTTAATTAAGTTTAATGGTTTTTTGCATAAATTTTACTTTTTTATATATATATATATATATATATATATATATATATATATATATATATATATATATATATATATATATATATATATATATATATATATATATATATATATATGTATATATATATATATGTATATATATATATATATATATATATATATATATATATATATATATATATATATATATATATATATATATATATATATATATATATATATATATATATACACACATATATATGTAAAAGATCTTATCATTATATTATTAATTTAATATTTTCAAATGTTTTTAGCAACAACTGAAGCCACAACCACAACAACGGAAGCTACAACAACAACAAATGAAGCTCCAACCACAACTGAAGCCACAACCACAACAACGGAAGCCACAACCACAACAACGGAAGCTACAACAACAACAACTGAAGCTCCAACCACAACTGAAGCTACAACAGCAACAACTGAAGCCACAACCACAACAACGGAAGCTATAACAACAACAACTGAGACTCCAACTACAACTAATGAAGTTTCAACTACTACAGGTTCTTTATGAGTTTTTACGAGTTCTTTACATCTGTGTTATAAGTTTTGTTTAGAGTATATATACAGTGGGTGCTCATATTATTAGAAACACGACCAAATTTAAAAACTTTGTGAATAAAGTTCAAAATTAACAAAACATTTTAACAAAATAATTTTTTTAATTTTACAAATAGTATGTATGTCCCGTTTACTTTAATCTGGGAGTTTGGCAAAATTGCATTTCATTTCATTTTGAAGTTATAGGGTTTTTTCCCGAATTTTGACAATTTTGGCAGTTATACCTGTGTTGTTGTCGCGTGAAGTGCTGTTTGTGTATTGCTCTCTTTTTAAAGTTTTCAAAGATTTTTTTATTGTTTTGTTATTAAGTTCTATTTATGTGTCTATTTTTTACAGTTAAACATGATTAAATCAATATTTTTACATATAATTTAACTTCTATAACGGTTCACTAGAATCATGTGTTTTTTTCAAAATGGTAAAGGCAAAAGATGTTTCACCCTTAAAAAAAAGAGAAGTTGGAGCATTATTGAAGAATACTTCTTATTCTCAAAGGTGTATAGCATCAATGACAAAGGTTTCAGTGGCAACAGTCGACCAAATAAAAAAAAATCTGGACAAAAATGCTGATTATACTCCTCAACGAACAGGTGTTGTTAGCCGTTTTCATTGTGGTAGAAAACGGCTCACAACACCAAGAGATGATAGAAAAATACGAGATATTTGCCTAGAAAATAGGAATAAGCCTAGGCGAATACTAACCACTTTAATACAAGATGCTGAAATACCAGTATCTCCAGTTCGTCGCCGACTCAAAGAACAAGGATTTCGATGCTGTATAAGTATAATGGTATGGTCTGTCGTTAGTGGACATGGAACAGGGCGCTTATATATCGTTGAGGGAACTATGCGCCCAGACCAATACATAAAAGTTCTTGACGCAAGATTGGTACCACATTTGAAAGAATGGTTCCCAAAGAACCAAAAATTTACATTTATGCATGATTCTGCTCCATGCCATAAAGCAAAGAAGGTTACAGAGTACCTAAAAGCAAAGAAAATTCCAGTGCTACCATGGCCAGGAAACTCACCAGATTTAAACCCTATTAAAAATCTGTGGGAGATCATGAAAAGGGAAATTGCTTCTGAAATGATCACCAACAAAATACAACTAATTGAAAAGATGATCAAAGTCTAGCACAATAACATAGATATTCAAAATAATGCAATAAAATGCATAGAAAGTATGCCAAGACGTGTAGAAGCAGTAATAAGTGCCAAGAAAAGGGATAACAAAATACTAAAATAAATCACCAATATGTAATCTTTTGCTTGTACAATAGTGGAATTATTTACAAAAATATATAGATAAGTATGTTTTTTATAATAAATATAGACCGCAACACTCAAAAGTTACAAAAAAATAGTCTGCAACCTTTTTATTTCTATAATAAATAACCTTTAACACATAGTTTTCAAAAAAAAGACAGTGTTTCTAATAATATGAGCACCCACTGTATATATATATATATATATATATATATATATATATATATATATATATATATATATATATATATATATATATATATATATATATATATATATAAATATATATATATATATATATATATATATATATATATATATATATATATATATATACATATATATATATATATATATATATATATATATATATATATATATATATATATATGTATATATATATATATATATATATATATATATATATATATATATATATATATATATATATATATATATATATATATATATATATATATGTATATATATATATATATACATTTATACATATATATATACATATATATATGCTTTTGTATTTTTATGTATTGTTCATTGAGCGTTGTAGTGAATAGTTCATATTGTTATATGTTTTAGTGCATTGTTTGCATTGGTATTAATTTTTTATTTAGTTTAATGTTGCCAACTTTGTATAGTTAGCTATTGTATTTATAAAAACAAGTGACTTATTATTTTTAATATAATTATTGTTGTTATTATTACTATTCTTTATGTTATTGTTTTTGTTGTTTTATTATTGTTGTAGTTTTTATGTTTGTTACTATAAATAGTATTTTTATTTGTATCATTACTATTTTATGGTAATTATTAATTGTACCGTAACATTGGGTGGCTTTGGCACTACGAGATGACTTTGAACAAAACGAATTTTTGTTTAAAAATGGTTTAAAATTGATACCTCAAGGAATGCCAGTTAATGTTTTGTGTTAAATTTTGGGAAATTTATTATTTATTTAGTCCAACTTAGTTTACTTTACTCCAGTCTCAGGAGTTAAGTAAACTAAGTTTACTTAACTTCCCAATAGAATTACAAGACTAAACAACATTAAAAAAAATTTATTTTAAATCTTAGTCGCATTTTATTAAAAAAAACAACAACTGTTTTTTAGTGCGACAAAATTATAAGACACTTTTGGAAAAAATTCATATAAATTGTCATTTACACAAAAAGACATCTCAATTTTAAACTATCAATAGTGGGTACTTTTACCATTTTTTTGAATCACTTCAATCATTATATTTCAAAGAAATATACAACTTTTTTTTTATGCGAAATGATTATAAGTCAGCTAGTGAACTATATTATTTACCACCTTCAAACACTATATGTGACAGCTGTGTGCAAGCATTCTCAATAATGTTCAGGTCTGGAGATCTAGCTGGCCAATTCAATGTTTCAATTTGCTGCTGTTGAAATAATCCTTTACTTTAGCTGTATGAACGCTACCATTATCTTGCTGAAAAACAAAATTTTTACTACATATGACAGATGCTTCAATTGTTAAAAATTCTTGAACAATTAAAAGATAATCCTTAGCTTTTGTTTTCCCGTCAATTAAATGAATTTTTGATTTATCATGATACCAAATCATTACACCATCCATTTGACGTCGTTGCTGTGTTACTGGTTCTTTACACAAATTGTGAAAATTCTAATGCCATCTATCCAGCTCATCAAGACAATATTGTTTTTTGTCAGAAGATACTACTTGTTGCCACTCTTCTTTCCATGTTACGTGGTCCTTTGCAAATTTTATTCAATTGTTTATATGATTTGTTGTCAAAGGTGGTTTTCGCTGAAGTTTTTTGCGCAATAGGTAAAAAGCATAATGAATAACTCGCTGAACTGTATGTAAATTAGCAATCAATCAATATATATTTTTCTGAAATATTTGGTATTACATTTCAAGGTTGTTTACAAATATTATAAACTACTAACATTACGTAAACACCTAATGATAATGATTAAAATAGTAATAGTAATAATAATATTTATAATAACAATAATAAATAATAATAATAACATGTTATTTTAACAATAGTAATAATAATATAGTAATTAAAATAATTTAAATAAATCAGTAAAATTTTCCATACAACAATCGTTTTTACATACAAAGTTACAGTTTTAAACAGCAATAAACTGACAAAACGTAACAACTACAATGACATAAAAACAACCAGTGCTAAAAAAAATTATAAAGATTTAGTAAATATATTGCAAATTATATGACAAAGTAAATAATATATAAACAGAAAAACACTGAGAAAATCAAAACAAAACTTACAACAAACATTACAAGAAAAACAAAAAATTACGTTAAGTTATTTTAGCAATAAAAACAAGAAACAACATCCACAACAACAAGAAAACAACAACATAAATTGAAAATAATAAATAAAGAAAAAAAAAAATAATAATACAGGGTAGAATAAAACATTTATAATAAATGGTTATAATGAAAATAAAAACAAAAAATATATAACACTATAAAAAGTTTGATATCACTATTTAAAAATAATTAATAACTAAAAAAAATAAAACAATAAATGACTAACAAAAAATAATAAGTATATTAACGTAGTTTTTAATCACAGTTCGGCTGCGTCTAATAGCTCTAGCCATGTAACTAACGGAGTGACCCATTTTGGATAAGTTAGAGAGGATTTTTTCTCATCTGGACTCAACAATGCAGCACGACCCAAATTATTAAATAATTTTTTATTTTATACCTAATAAAAAAAAACATAAATTAAATTTTTGACAGTTCACAAAGTTTACTGTTAATTAATTGTCTGTGGTATTTACATTAAATATTATTAAAAAAAACATTCTTACTGCAGTTTGCAAAAAATGTGTTTTTCGTAAAATTGTCTTTTGTTGCACTATAAAAACAGGTTTTTTTTTGTATAAAATGCAAATTACGTTAAAAATAAATTTGTTAAAATGTTGTTTAGTGTTGTAAAACTTTTGCTTTCATTTACAATAAAAATTAGTTTTTAAATATTAATGTGTAGTAGAGTTTTATATATCTTTTTTGGATGTCTTATTATTAAGTCGCACAGTGTAGGTAATAACATATCTTCACATTTGAGCATTGCAGTACAGGAAGCATGTCAAAGCAGTAACATAGGATTTGTGGCATTACCAGCAAATTTTACACATCTCACCCAGCCATTAGATGTTGCCTACTTTAGACCTATGAAGATTAACTGGCGCAAAATATTATGTGAATGGAAGGAGAAAGAAAAAGGAAGGAGAGTTGCCTCTCTTCGTAAAGATGAATTTCCTAGACATTTAATTACCAACTTAAATGAACATGGGAATGATAACCTTGAAGCTGGTTTTCGCAAAGCTGGAATTTTTGCATTAGACAAATCTCAAGTGCTTTCATGACTACCATGTTGTAATGTAGGTTTAGACTCAACTACTGATTTAGTAAGCCAATCATTTTCAGATCATTTATGTAAGTCACTGGATGATCCCACAGATCATCCAAAAAAACCAAAGCAAGGTAAAGTATATGCTGCCCCAAGTAAAAGCTTATATTCAACAGATATTTCATCTTGTGGTATAAATGAAAATAATAGATTAAATAAAAAAAATGTATTTACACCTATCAGTATTTTAAATACAATTGAGACTAGCAACATTAACTTTACTGGCCCAAGTACAAATACTGGAACTACTGAGACTTCTAATCTAATTTTTGGGGATGTAAGTTTAGTTGTAGAAAGTCATACATAATCTTTAGATCATTCAGAATTAGACAAAAAGAACTTTCTTATTAAGTCTGTAGAGAGTCTGTAGTCTGTAGAGTCTGTAGAGAATCTGTAAAAATCTGTAAAGTCTGTAGAGAATCTGTAAAAGTCTGTAGAAAGTCTGTAGAGAGTTGAATCCTGGACAGGTTTGTTTATTCATTTTGAATTATTTATATTTAGCTAATCAATTAGTAAACTTTATAACTAATTAATTTAATAACTAATATTATTCAATGTAATAACTACTGAATAATTTTAAAAAAACTTTTGAATTTTTTTTTTTTAATGCAGTTGAAAAAAATAAGAAAAAATGGAGCATAAATTACTATTATGAAAAAAATGGACTTGACTAAAAATGTTCACTACCTGCAGAGCAACTTTTTTTTGTCAGTCTGAAATAGTCGATTTTATTGAGGAACCAAAGAAAATTTTGAAAAGACAAATTTATTTAATTCCAGAACTTTTTCACTAAATTTTTTAAAACTTTATTTTTGTCATTTTTGTTTACTTTTTACCTAAACTGTTTTGTTTACTTGGTACCTATACTTGTTTAGTTTGTACCTATATTTTATTTACTGTATACAAGAACTTTGTTACTAAATCTTTTTTTGTCACTTTATTTTTGTAAATTTATTTTCTTTGCCTAAATATTTTTGTTTTTGTTGTTGTTTTGCTTCCTTTAGTTCCTTTTTACTGGGTTGGGCCAAAGTCACAGGGTAACTTTGGTCCATCATTTAAACCACCCAAAAGATACTTCAGGTAAATAATTTTCAAAATAGGAGACAGATAGTTTTAACTATCCTTTTTATGCACTTCTAAAAGTACTTAGTGTTTGAGGAAATAACTTTCGTGGCTTTCATGCAATAGACATTAAGGTGCAAAATGTGCCAAAGCCATCCAATTTTATGGTATACATAAAGATTTGTATTTTTGATGTTTACTTGAGATTAGTAAAATTACTATTTGGAAATACTCATGAAAATATTATTCAGAATATATGATTGATTGATTGTATATATAATTTATAATATATGTAATTTATAATATATATAATTTATAATATATATATAATTTACTATATATATATATATATATATATATATATATATATATATATATATATATATATATATATATATATATATATATATATATATATATATATATATATATATATATTTGCTCTTTCAGCTCAATCAACATCTACAACTACAATCTTATCTACAACAAGCTATCCTTTAACTGTTGAAGGTAATAATGCTCTTTAGATTTAGTTTATTTTGTTATAACACAATCTTGTTTTGGTGCTATAAAAGCCATTTTATGGCTCTAAGATTAAGTAACGCTTATGTTTTGTATATAATGGTTTTTGAAAAATATTTGCGTCAGTGATAGATCTTTGATTTATAGGTATTCGGCATAACTTGACTGAAGAGTCAAGACAATTTTACTAAAAAGTTTTGAACAACTTTGAATACTTTCAATCAATTATGGTTTTGTTAAGGAGGGAATAATTTTGGTTTTCCCCTCCTCCATACTCTGCAATAATGAATTTTTTTTATTTATTTTGCACAATGTTTAAAATAAGTATAAACATATAAGTTTATACTTATATTTAAGATATTTTAATATCTTAAAAGTATATGGAATAAAACTATATGGAATATATACCTATAAATCATTTAAACCATTCAGTTCTGCAACTGATTTGAATTTGTTGATTTTTTTTTACTTTTGCTCTCTTAAACTAGAAAAATCATTTTGCCCATGTTTGCAAAGTTTTTGTAATTATAATGATGACCCGTTCTGTGTGAATGTGATTCAATCATGTGTAAACACCACAACAGAAACAACAACAGAAGCAACATCAACAACAACAACTGAAGTTTCAACTACAGGTTCTTTTTAAGTTTTTATTTAAATTATTTTTACTATTTTATTAAACTTTTTTTTTTTAAAGCTAAAACAGAGCAAAACTTGTATTTGTTTTACATATCTTGTATATCATAGTCTTGTTTTAATAACTTTTTAAAATAATATTCTCAAAATTTTTTTATTTATAAATCTCATGTCAGCAAATTTGTAGTTTATAAATCACATGGCCATTTATGTTTTTTATGTATATATATATATATATATATTATTCATATTCTTAAAACTTTCTATTGGTTCTCACAAGCAACTCTGTTAAATTTTTTCAAAATTTTATTGAATTTAGGGGGAGCACAAGACCCTTGAACAATTACCGGGTCCCTAATAATATTTAAAAAGATCTCAAAATTATGTCATGTTGGTTCTCAAAAGAAGCGAAATTATATAAAAATTTTAAATGTACCAATCATTTTATAAAAAAAAATTATTATTTCAGAGTTTTTTGCAGAAAAATGTTCTTTTTTAACCTAAAAATAAAAAAAGTGTATTTTTCCGATAATTATTCCAAAAAAAAAAAAATTGAATAATCATTTTTTTTTTTGAGTTGCTTGTGAGAACCAATAGAAAGTTTTAAGAATATAAACATATCTTTTTTAGAATATAAGGGGCCGCTGGGACACTCTAATATATATATATATATATATATATATATATATATATATATATATATATATATATATATATATATATATATATATATATATATATATTTATATAAGACCTTATCATTTTATTAATAATTTAATACTTTTTAAGTGTATTTGTTTTCAAATGTTATTGTTCATTATTTAAGCTACAACCACAACAACTGAAGCTCCAACCACAACAACTGAAGCTCTAACCACAACAACTGAATCTACAACAGCATCAACTGAGGCTCCAACTACAACAACTGAAGTTTCAACTACTGCAGGTTGTTTTTGAGTTTTTACAAGTTTCGACATCTGTGTTGTGAGTTTTGTTTTGAGTATATATATATATATATATAAATATATATATATATATATATATATATATATATATATATATATATATATATATATATATATATATATATATATATATATATATATATATATATATATATATATATATATACATATATATATATCAGGCCTTCTCAGGAGACGCGTGCGGTCGCACGCCTTGAATGACCACGCATATATATTTTTTTGTTGATAACATGGCCACGATTTTTTTGCATTTATTAAAAATGGCGCATCTTAAAAACGCGCTGAAAAAACAAAATTAATTGCTTAATTTTTTTTAATTATTAATAATAATTCATTATTATAGTTATTAATGAGAAAATAGAAACATTAAAATAACATATATAGGCATTTCAATTTTTAACTTACGTTACATGCGCATTAACTTTACCAAATATTAGCTTATTTAAACTTTTAAATTAAACTTTTAACAATTTTGTATAAAAGCTGTTAGTCTAATAAATAAAATAAGCTTAAAAGTTTTGTGTTCGGCTGAAAGAAAGTAAACTTATTACTAAAAATGCCACTTGCACTGATGTTACACGGAAAACAAGGTAAAAAAACAAATTCAACTTATAGGTATTTCTGCGAATCAGTAAATCAGTTTGTATTAGAAACTTTTACAAAATGCAGATAATTCTATACCAATTTAAAATTTTTATAAAAACTTTTTTAAAATAAACTTGTTTTTTTGATACTGTATTTTTTACTTAAATTACATCACTTACATTATAGAGCGGTTATCATGATTATTTTTTTATCTATTATTAAGAGTTACAGTTAATTAACAAAAGAATTGCATAAGTATTGAGCTCATTCATTAAAAATAATTAACAAAGAAATTTTTTAAAAACTGGTGGCACTCTTCCTAAGTGATTTTTCATAACTTTCATGAAAGTTATCAAACCGGAAATAATTTTTTCGCAAGACCAAGAGTGACTTCAGAAAAATATTTTAGTTTTACATCTTTATTATTACTTAATTGAGTAATTGGTTTGTTGAAGTTTCTATTTACACTTCTTACGTTTATGCGTATTGCTTTATTTTTATAAGATTGAATTTTTATAATGCTGCTAAGCAGAGCCGGCGCGAGTAGGGGTCACATGGGTGGGGGTGCCATAACAACTTTTGCCGTCTTAAAAATAAAAAAATATATAAAAAAAAAAGGTCCTCGTTTTTTAAAATTTACCGACTGCCATAACGACATTTGCCGACTGACTTAATTGACTAACCTATCGACAGAGTCTACATTTGCCGACTAACTAGTCAAAAAGGGTCACATTTGCCGACTAAGGGTCAAATTTGCCGACTAAAAGTCATTGATGGGGGGGTCAACCTCCCTCCCCCCCCCACACACACACACCCCTATTGCGCCGGCTTTGCTGCTAAGTTAAATTTTTAAATATTTAAATCTTTTCTAAACATCTATATGTCCAACAAAATAATAGTACATAAACAAACAAAAAAAATAATAAAAATAAATAATTTTAATACATATGAAAAAAAAAAATTTTTTTTTTAATTCTTCTTATATAAAATGTTTCAGTTAAAACCTTGTCAAGCCAACAGGAAGAAATAATAATTACTTAATGACGTAATTCATTTAGTAAATAAAAACTTAACGAAAAATTGCCAAAATAATCATAAATGCATGAAAACAAATAAAAATATATATATTTATATATTATTTTTATCTTTTTATTTTATCATTAATTACAAATATATATATGTGCATTATTGTTAGGTTTTAATTTTCTCATAAATAATTGTAATAATAAATTATTATTATTAAAAAAAACCAATAAGATGACTAATTAGTTTGATTTTTTCAGCGCGTTTTTAAAATGCGTCATTTTTAATAAATGCAAAAAAAATTGTGGTCATGTTATCATCAAAAAAATATATATGCGTGGTCATTCAAGGCGTGCAACTGCACGCGTCTCCTGAGAAGGCCTGATATATATATATATATATATATATATATATATATATATATATATATATATATATATATATATATATATATATATATATATATATATATATATATATATATATATATATATATATATATATATATATATATATATATATATATATATATATATATATATATATATATATATATATATATATATATATATATATATATATATATATAAAAGAGAAGCCCATTTGCAAGTTATTTTAATATGGAGTAAACTGATTTTGTGAAAACAAAACTAAACTACTATAAAAATCATTGCACATTAATAAAATTTTCTATTGATGTGCAACTAGAAGTAGTTTAGTTTTGTGAAAACAAAACTAATCTACTTCTAGTTGCACATCAATAAAAATTGATACTTTCTTGGGCTCTTTATAATAAAAGTTTATATATATTTGTTTTTTAATTTTTAGCTCCAAGACGTCCTATTGTAACTGCTACATCTTTTGAGGTCGACATGAAAAAATATATAGTAAATTATAGTGATGCCGAGTAAGTTCATTTTTTTTTTAGTTATCGAAATTAATCTTTTTTACAAAGTTTATTTTTTTTATTAACATTTTTTAATTGTATTTATTTTCATGTTATTGTTCATTATTTAAATGATTGCATCTTTTCAATAAGTTAATAGTATTATATTATTTTATTGGTTATAATTATATCTATTTAATATTTAATCTCTTACATAGTTTTAACTCCATTTAATATAAAAGTGATCATAAATATAAAATCATTAATAATTATATACAAGTGACAAGAACTTTTTTTTCATTTGATATGTTATTACTGCTGTGATGGCAAATTTTTAATTCTTTTTTTCTTTTTTTTTTTACACGTTTTAAATTATTTTTCAGTAATAATTAAATTTTTTCATTATTATTGAAAAATGATTTTCTCAATTATTACAGACTTTTTTTATTATTTCCTAATATTTTTATTTCTTTAATTATTGTATATATTTAATGAAGAGTATTAAGAAATACTTAAACTGTTGTAGGTATTATATTATTTTGGTGGCTTGCAAACGTAGTCAACCATGCCCTCCTGGAAGGCATCCAAGTACATATACTTGGGATGAGATAAGAAATAATACGGATGGTTTACTCTTAGTTGGGAAGTTAAATGCAACTAATGTGAACTTACCATTTACAGTTGGAGGTGGATCAACTCGCAAACGAAGAGATACAAGTATTTTTTATACCTGTTGTTTTCCATTATAAAGTTTTTGTTCTTAAGCTTAATTTAAACCATAAAATAACTTTAAAATATAAAGTAAGTTTGTGTATTCTTCATTATCACAAAAAAATTTTAAAATTTTTGATATATAAAATAAATTCATAATTTTATTTGACATAAGTAAATTAAATATAGTATATAAATATATAGTTGTAATAAATGTATGAATATATTTTTAAATTCTTAACTTAAGATTTAAGGAAATTATTAACATATTATGAGTTTCATGATAGAATGATGTTATTATCATTATAATGGTGTTAGATACACAATTATTATAATTATTATAATAGTACATTTTTATGAGTTACTTTTCAGTAAAGTGCAGAGTTTTAGAGTGAGGATATAGTTGATAGAAATATTTGATATGCTCTAAAATGCATGATTCAGAAAAACATGCAAACAAAATGAAATTCTTGTACATTGAATTTCAATTCAAGATATACCTTAAATATCAATGCATTGGAATCTCTAGTTTTTTACTGGTAAAAAAATAGATGAGACAACATTGCACAGTGATAAATGTAAGAGTGGTGATAAATTAAAAATTTACCACCACTCTTTACATAAGTTGTAAATTTTTGTTGATTTCGACTTCTGATGATTATATCAGTAATCTTGTTATTCTTGTTTTGATGAATGGCAATACTCTTATTGAGTCAATTAGTTTAAGCTCCTATGTCTGATGAATGTTTTTTTACTGTTCACATACTTTTTAAGAAAACCATATATCCGATTTATTAAAACATCAGCATTCTCTAAAGTTGCCTGTCTTATTGATGGTTATCATTTTTTTGCTTTGATTTCTGTTCTCTTACTCTATAAAGCTCATCTGTTTTATATATTAAAAATTATAGCCTTACTACTTTTTTTCTAACTCGTGATCTTTTTAATTATTATGGTAAACAAGTTTGCTGTAAAAAGAGACAGAAGTTAAATTTCAAAAAAAGAAAAGAATTGAGTGCACTCAAAATGAGATTCTAAAAGTTTGTTAAATAAAAATTTGAAGACTTCGCTATTAGTATAACAAGGAGTTATTGGATGATAGAGGGGTCAGAATAATTGCTACAGATTACATTTTCTAGCCGGGAGTAAATCATGAATCAGTAATGTTTTAAATAGTTGAGAGTGTAATGAAGAGAGTTTTGGAATCCAATTTAGTAAGAATGAAATGGAATCTTGTCAGGACCACAAGGTTTAAAAGATTTTAAGTGATAAGTACCTTTAACAATAGAAGACAAAGAGTTATTTGGTTATTTAACAATAGGTTAATTTTTTTTGCCTGTTTTTTTACCAGTTTTTTTATAGGTAAGATTTCTTTACTAGTGTGGTTATAGGTAAATAGTGGTGGTTTTTTTCCTCCAGTGGCCCCTGCTTTCCAGCTGGCTGTGGCTGCCAAATTAGAAGCTATATTTTTGCCTCCTGTTGGCGAAAGTAATGAAAACATTTCACTTTTATTTTTAGGTTAATAAGCAATTTAAATATTCTTTAGGAGAAAGTATTTAAAATTTGATATCAAAGTTGCATTTTATATGATTTATTGCCAAATTCTTAACTATTTAATTAAAGAATAAATTTGAGTAAAATTGAATTATAAAAATTGGAAATTTAATTTCCATGCATAAGGCAAAAAAAATAATTTTGAAAAAAAATTGGTTATAATAAATTGTCAGTTTATGACCAATGTTTGATATTTTGTTGTCCACCCATCATGTTAAAGCTTTCATTTTATGAATATAACATATTCTTAACATCAATCATCAAATATTGTAAAGATAGCTTAAACTACAACATCCTGTAATATTCATTAAGTTTAAATAAAATTAATTTATTTTAATGTCGGCTTGAATTGAATTTGTTCAATAATAAAAATTTGTACAAAAGTTAAATTTTTTTAAATTTAAATTTTGTGCAACAGAATTGAAAATGAAAAATATGCCAAAATCAAATCAAGCCATACTATGGAGATTTTTTTAAATTTATGGAGTTTTTTTTAAATTTATGGAGATTTTTTTTACTTGTTTAAATTTTGGTGTAGTATAAGATTTTTACTACATTTTTCACTAATAATAAATTTTTACTCTCTATAAAAGTGTAGAAACATTTTTATTCACTAATAAAAGTCTTTTATAAAATTTTTATGAATCTCATCTGTCATGAGATTTTTATTTCCCATGTAAGATTGTTTTTTGCAGCTTCTTTGTATTTTATTGATAGTGTTGACAAAACTATAACCTGTTCACAAAAAAAGATTTTTGTAATCAGATTGAAACAAACCAAAATCGTTAAAATGTTTAAAATAATGACTTTTTTTTTTTTTTTGCAAATGAAATAATTGACATTTAAATATTTTGATATACTATTTACAAACCATGTCATATTCACAACTACATACAGTTTTAAGTGTGCGAGATTTTAAATTAATCTAGAAAATATATTGAAAAAATCCATTGAACTCAGCTTTCAACACAAACGATAAACAAATAAATTTAATTAGAACGCAAATGTACAGTCATGGTATTATGACCATGGAAGCAATGCATTCAAGCAACACAATAGTACGTAATTATGAAAGAGCAATGATAATAAATTTTTCTAAATACGGATTTGTGTACTACAGGTTAACAAATCATAAAAGCAAAGACTGCACAAAGGTGCTGAATGTTGCAAGGTGCAAGGAGATTTTAACAAAAAAAATGTTATGTTACAACTGCATTGGTTATGGACATTCTGCAGCAAATTGTTAATCGAGAGGATGCCGATAGTAAAAAACATCACTTGTCAATCTGTCAAAATCTTAATGCATTAATGGATGGTAAAGTTGAAAACAAAAGAGAAACCATTGGAACAATATTTAACACAAGTACAATTATTTACCCGACAGTGATTGCAAAAGTAAATGGTAAAAAAGTGGGAATAGTTTTGGATATGGATGCTGGAAGTTTATATATATGTACAAGCTTTTTAACAAAACTGAAGTTAAAACCTACACAGAAAGAATATAAAAGCATCAAACAGCTATATGGAACAGTGAACAAAGTTGTAGAGTTATATAACATTATGCTAGAATCATTCATGGTGCAGGAGTTTTGCATCGAGATTGAATGCGTTAACAAAAGGAAATACTAACTTTTTTACCCAATCCAATGGTCAAAGAAGTAAAGTTAAAATTTTCAAAATTGAGGAGACTGAAACTCAGTGAGAATGACGGAAGCTATGAATTGCAACCTGTTCATATATTACTTGGCCCTGCTGATGATCAACAAATAAAAACTATGGAACCATTTATTAAGGGAAAAAACCCAAACAAAGATCCTGGAGAAGAACTAACTATGTTGGGATAGACTCTTGCTGGGAAACGTATACAACTAAGTTCAGTTATTGAACAGATTTTCTTATTGAACACTGGTTGTGAGAAGTTTGAGAAAATGTGTAGCCTAGAAATACTTAGATTTTCAAGCCTAATCAGTGAATCAATGTTCCTTCAAGATTCTAGCAAAACACTGCTCTAAACCAAAAAAAGATATTTTGAAACTAGGATGCCATTGAAAAAGAACGTTGTCAAACTGCCAGACAACAGGAATCTGGCTATTAAACATTTAAAACCTACAACAACGTGTTTGGATAAACTTAATAAACTAGAATAGTATAATGACATAATGATGGAAGAGATCAATTAAGGAATACTGGAAGTTGTTCCAGAAATATCTATGGAAGAAATCATTACTACATTCTTCATTAAGCTGCAATCAAAGAAAATGCTGACTCAACAAAAATTAGGGTTGTTTATAATAGTTTAGCTCAAAAAGACTCAATACCATCATTAAACCATTGCCAAGAAGTAGGATCGTTATTGCAGCCACTAATGTTTGATATTTTTATTTTGAAATTGGATGAAAAACTCTGTGTATTAGCTGACATTCAGAAAGCATTCCTCCAAATTCAAATTCACGAAACTGATTGAGACACACATCAATTAATTTGGTATAAAGATATAAAGAAAATGGAGTTATTGGAGTTACGGTTTACAAGGGTAATTTTTGGCTCCAGTTCAAGTCCATAAGTTCTTAGTGCTACCATTAAAAACATTTATCAAAAATACACGGATATCTATCCTAAAACATTTATGGCCTTAGAAGAAGATACTTATGTTGATGATCTGCAAGCATGTCTAGAGATAGAAGCAGTAGAAGAGTTTATAAGGTTTAAAAATAAATCAATACAAATTTTGAAGTAAACATAGTTCATGCTGCACAAATGGCATAGTAATGTGAAAAAATTAGAAAACGATGGTTAGTGCAAATCAACAAAAATACTTGGGCTTCCTTGGAATAAAGAAACAGAACAACTATCCATTGATTTTACTTCTTGTATCAATAATGGAAATAAAGTAGTTATAACAAAAAGGAAAATGCTGTTCGCCATCACAGTGTTTTTGACGTTTTGGGATTTTGTGCACCTGTCAATCATTGGAAAAATATTGTATAGTCAACTATGTTTATTGAAAGTTAAATGGGATCAAGAAATATCAATCAAACTTTCTGAAGAATGAAAAAACTGGATAAAGGGAATAAGCAACAAAAGATTTATTTCAATTCTGCAGAGCGTGGTGTATGGAAGAATTATTGAAGTGGAGCTTCATGGATTTTTGGATGCAAGTAAACTAGCCATTTGTACATGTGTATAGACTGTCAAATGTGGTTTTAAAATATGATTGGAAAACGGATATGTGATTGCATGACCGATTCGTACAACCTGGAAATCGATTGTGAGGTGAAAAACGTAGTTTAACCAAAAGAAAGTGAAGCAAAAACTGAAATCTTAGAAAGAGCAATAAGATGGGAATTAAACACAATACAAAATATCAATTACAAATTAAACACAATACAAAAGATCAATTACAAATTAAACACAATACAAAAGATCAATTACAAATTAAACACAATACAAAA